TAAAAGATTATAAATTGCAGTTGTCTCCCTTTGATTATGAAATTGCCTTCAGTAATTTACCTATAGTATATGGATCCTTTAAACTGTGCCTAGTTGCAAACCCAGAGGCATTAATAGCTATGTCTACAATCCCTTATGGACTCTATGATAGGGAGGGGAGTTCACAAGCCCAAATCAGCCAACATAGCAAACATGTTTAGCCGTAAGGACATTGCAGAAAGGGCCTCACATTGACTAACTCAAATAGGCTTAGAAAATGATTTGAGAAGGGGTAGTTGAGTCGAGTTGACAAACACAATCGTCAAGTGGTATCGGCGCTCTGGACAAATGGCCATGTCTCATGCCTCAAAAAACAGAACAGTGATTATCTAACCTATAATTAACCACGTCATTACCATTGGTTATCTCGTACATAATTAAATGTAACAGGATCTTCTTTTTATCTCAAACCAACACACCTTGATGGTCAAATCCTAGCTTTCTGACTTGTATTCTTCCTTTATTCTGTGTACTGAAATTAGACAAGGAAATTAGTTAATGTGCAACAGCGCCTCTCCCCCACCAACCCTCCACCAATTCCGCTTAAAAACGTCTTGGTAATCTAGAAGGATAAGCAAGACCCATATTTTGCAGCAATTAATAGATGTAATTTTAAAGTATATAAGCTAGATTTTAATTTGCGGTATTAAATATAACGCGAGTCTCGAAGTGTTCACAAGGGTAAGCATGCCCCTATCAGCAATCATTCCACTAAATATTTTCCCTGTATTCTGCTGCAATATAAAAATGTAATTTTAAAACATAAAACGTTAATATAAAGTGCTCCAGGCAGATAAGCATGCCATCCCCCTCCAAGCCTATCAGCAATCCTTCCACTAAATTTTTCCCTGTATTTTGCTGCAATATAAAAATGTAATTTTAAAATATAAAAAGTAAACATAAAGTTAGAGTATTAAATATAAGGCGAGTTATCAGAAGTCTTATCAAGGCGCGGCTAGATATCATCTTTACGTCTAGTTTGTTGGACGATTCAACTAGATTCTTACTTCAGATATCATTTAACTTGGAGGCTTCTATCTCTTCAACCAACTTCAGTCAGTTTTTAAGATTTTCAATCCTGCAACCGTAGATTTATTCCGGCATTTTCTTTTTTTTTGACAATGGAATAACTCGAAGAAAGGTAACATTTGTATTTAATTCTTCTTAATTGCTTAAATTATTAAATATTATTTTTATAGCTTTATCTCTCTTTCAATGTGTATCAAAAAATTTGTGTATATTCACTGTTATTATCAACGAGTGTATCTGCTTTTCTGATATTTTTGGAAATATTATCATCACCTATTTTCTTAATAATTTACTTAAAAATTAAATCTATATTTTTGTCTTTATCATGTCAACATTTTTTATCAAGTGAAAGTTACTTTTTAACTTTTTTTGTCAAACCAAATGAGAGATAAAATTATTTAAATATCTTTATTTATTTATTTAGTCAGATATGATAAATATTAAGCCGCATTTTAAATATTGGGAAAAAGAAAAATATTTGATTTGCTGATTGCAAACTGTTATATTATTTAAATTTATCATTATCATTTGTAAAATCAATTCATGCTTAAAATTGTAAACCATTCAATAATATTATCAATATGTTTGTCATAAAAATTGCAAGACGTCAGACATTAAGCCAATCTAGAAGGTGTAATGGACGATTGTTACGATAATAGCAAACCTTCCTTCCTGATGCAG